ACACACACACACACACAAAATAAATAAATAAAATCCCTCGCGTTCATGTGAATTGTTCCGAAAATAGGAGAAATATTGTATGGTGCATGCTTAAATTTGCTTATTTCCACATGATTAAATTCAAAATGAAATGTGGAAATTTCTGAAAAATTTGATATCTGGTTAGTAGGATCATCTTCAGTGGGAGAAGGGTGGCTATTTCAATTATCTAAGGGGTGGTTTGGGATGTTTTAAATAAGTGCACTTTTTGAATTTTTATAAAAAAATGTGTAGAAAAGTAGAGAAAGTAGGTAGAAAAGTAAGATGTTGATAGATGTTGATTGATGTGACCTAAATAAGTGTATGTATACAAAAAAAGTGCACTTTTTTAGTGCATGCCAAGCACCTACTAATTCTGGCACAAGCATTCCTAAATGGAAGTACTTCAGATTTTTTAGTAATAATTTGGATTTGTAGCTTATTTTTCATTCCCTTTTTAATTTTGTTTTAGGGAGAACACAAACCACTGGAAGATGAAGAAGATAAATTCAACAGAACAGAGGAAAGGAGGCTTTTGTCCATTAACCCCCGAAGAGGTGGGAATATTTCTTCAAGCTCTCGGTTACCCTCCATCAACATTGATTTATATTGCTGCTGGGGAAATTTATGGTGGTCACATTCACTTATTGGACCTCACATCTCGCTTCCCAAACGTTGTTTTCAAGGTTCTTTCATTTATTTTGTATATCATTGACAATGGAAAAGTATAGTTTGATGTGTTGACGTTGCACATTTGTACAACCATGAACTAACTGGGGGTCAAATTGATGACAGGAAACGGTTGCATCCCAAGATGAGCTGAAAGCATTTTCCAATCATGCATCACAAACTGCAGCACTTGATTACATCATCTCTGTAGAGAGTGATGTATTCATTCCATCTTATTCAGGTAATATGGCAAGAGCTGTTGAGGGACACCGCAGATTCTTAGGCCACCGGAAGACCATCACTCCTGACAGGTATTATTAATGCAGTCAATTTAAAAGATTTGTAAGTTAATTCTTTCAGGGCATTGTTTGGGGAGTTTTTATTTATTTATTTATTTATTTTTAAAAAATTTTAAAAGAAAGAATAAACGGGCTAGTATGTCTTGCTTGTTTTTATAATTTTTTGTCTATCAAAATTCAACTTTTGGAATAGTATGTCCTGCTTGTCTACAAACTGGAAATCTCATGAGGAGTCAAAGGGTCCCATGGATTTTCTAATAGGAGCAGTTAATTAGCTCTTTCTTTGAGAAAATCAATTTTAAACTATGCTTCAGGCAAGGGATATTAGTTTCCTTGGAGATTATATGCATATACATAATTTATATAGTTGTAATTTAAACCAGAAATAAACCCCCATGTATATATATGCCTTTCACTATACCCTGAAAAGAGGTTGCAGTGGGTATAGTTTTGACTCCAACATGTAAGTTGTTTTCTGCTATATTTACTGATTTACAAGAAAAGATGTCAGAAGATGACATAATTTGGAGAAGTATTTCCCCAAACAAGAATTTTATCTTCTCCAGTTAAAATCTTCATGATCTATGAGAATTCTCTCTCTCATTCATTTTACATTCACAAACATTATTTGCAGGAAGGGTCTTGTTGAAGTGTTTGATAAGATGGAAGCTGGACAGCTTGAAGAAGGAACATTGGTGTCTTATCTTGTGATGCAATTGCACAAGAACAGGTATTATTCAACATTCTGTAGAACTTTTTGTTTTGTAATGAAAAAGGAAAACAATTTTGAAAAAGTAAAAGCGAGAAACATGTTTGATGAATACACAGGTTTTTGGATGTCTTATGAAAAGGAATTGTTAAATTGAATTTATACAGCGGCTAAACATTCTTTTTAGTCTTGCTATGTTAGCTTGCCACTGTAATTAATCACCAAGGTAATAAATAGAAATAGAAATAGAAATAGAAATGAGGTGATCTAATAAAACTTGTGGGGATCTTTCTTAAAACAAGTGTTTGAGAAAGCTATATTTATAAAGAAACAAGAGAGATACCAACTCAATCTTCGTCACAAGGCAGGCATATATATACATGTGCCTTTATCAGTCTGTTGTACCTCAAATAAACTGAAATAGATAGAATAGAATGAAGGACCAGAGTGTAGGATACAACTTTCACAGGATTGTGCTCTCTATAGGCAAGGAGCACCAAGGAAAAGAGAAGGTCCCCTTCAAGGATTCAAAGGCCGAGCACGGTTCAGGACTGAAGAATCTTTTTACCAAAATCCATACCCGGAATGTATATGTCATTCAAAAAGCACATTATGATATTAAAGAGTCACTGCGTCATCCAGCATTTGAAGACTCAGTTATTATTATTATTGTTACTTAACTCTTTTTTTTAAAAAAAAGAGAGTGAGTGTGATATACACATCACAAGCCAGTGCAGGTGAAATCCTTTGTTTTTTATTCTTGCTTTAGGGTCTTGTAATTTTCTAATACTAATTTTTCTTGCCTTAATAGTTTTGTAACTCGTATCAGTGGACGATTTTGTTTGTAGATGAATTTACTCGTGGAAGTCTGTAATACCCAAATAAGAGCTTATGCATTTTAAATTTTTTATTGAGAAAATATTCGATGGATATGTGGTTAAATGATCAGTATTCGACGGATTTAAACAGTTGAAGGTTTTGGTACTTGCACAGCTTGGGTTTTGGTATTGGGATATGATTTAAAGTGCAATTGTCAAATCTTATTTTTATTTATTTATTTTAGTGGTAGTAATTGTTTCAAGTAAATTTGTGATGTATATCAATATGGTAGTGATTGAATTTTAGAATTGTATGCATGAATATATATATATATGTTTACCAATATCAGAGAAAGCACATATATTAGGAAAAAGAACAAATAAAATGTAGTATAGTGAGTGAAAAAATCCATTGGGAGTATGAAGCTGAAGCTAGACCCTAAAGGGTATGAGCTCAAGGTCTATGGCCTCTGGAATTTTGCGTTGAGGCGGGAATTTTGGGAGCAGGCTGGCTATGCTCTTGGCAGTTGCCAAATAGGATGCATACTTGCCAATCACCCCGACGTGATCATTTACATCTCCATCATGGTGCTCATTTGATTCATGACAACCGAGGTTCAGTCCCTGCATGGTCACACCACCACCACGGGTTGCCATTGCCATTGAAGAACCACAGAAATTGCAGTTTGGCTCCTCTCCTTGCAAAATCTCCCTCAGTGCCATTTCCTTGAAGGTCCAGGCCCCAGTTTTCCAATTGAAGTGGTACAATGGAAGGAACCTCTGGCCATAAATAGCTATGAATTCCAACGCGGCTAAAATGAACTCGAATTCTTCGTTCGACATGTAGTAAGGGAAGCTGATTCTTGTCCAACCAGGCTTCACTCCACTGTAACCCTATTAAATTAATACAACGAAGTTAAATTTAGGGTAATGGCACATGAACAGGATGATTAATTTCAAAAAAATTTAGATTCACCGTTTGAATAGCGGATCTGAAGGCAAGCGAGTGAGGCTGGTCAACATTTAGCAAAATGTGGCCATAAGGTCCAGCACAAGCACATCCACCACGAGCCTGGATGCCGAACAGGTCATTGAGAAGCTTCGCAACAAAAGGCCCATGGAAGGGCTTATCCCTTTTGTTACCGATCTCTCTCCACATGTAAAGTCCTTTATTGCTTCCGCTTATCTCTTTTCCATTGATATTGTCAGTTTGTATGACATTTTCCGATGATGCAGAAGAAGAATAGACGGTGGAGTAAATAAGGAAAGACAGGATAGCTTGTCGCTTGGCGGTTGTATTGCCCAAGATACATATGTTGTGATTTGGTACAAGCCTCTCTAGTGCTCTTTCTATGTAGTCATGCTCTTGTTTTTCTATCACTTGGTAACCAATGTACTCTTTCACCCAAAATGCCAATGCTGCTCTGATTTTCCCGATGATTGGCGGAGTTCCAGCGTCTTCCCTTTCTTCTATGTCGTTTACATATAATGTGTCCTTCAATTTCATTAATGAATGGTCACAACTCAGAATATGGATTTCATTTCAATGAGAAATTCAAACATTCCTCAAAACTCAAAATGGGTGCCAATGAGTATAGTTGTGTAGAGTACAGCTATTAGTCAAATTGTAATTATGAATTATAATATAGTAATTAAATTAAAAACAAAGTCAAAGACTTCAATTGCCACCTTACCTTGTCATTGAAGCCATTGACATAATTGACAGTGCCACCTCCACAGGTTGATGGAGGAGAAGTTCTGAGCTGATAGAGTTGGTTGCTCATTAGAAGGATGCCTGGGGAACCTGGGCCCCCAACAAACTTATGAGGGCTAAGGAAAACGCCATCGTACCCATCAATCTCCCCTGACCTCATGTCAATCTCCACATAAGGACCACTGTACATAGTGTGTCAATTATTATTGCACTTTCATCAAAGAAAATTATTTTAATAATAAATTTTTTCCACTTTTGTCACATTTGATTGCTGGTTGGAGGAGAGTGATTCGATTAGTAATTTTGTGGAATTCACATAAAATCATGTTTGGATATGAAAAATGACATTGGACTATTTTGACCTCACTTTACAAAATAACAAATTATTTTGTTACGTAATTTCATAAATTTAATCACAACCAATTAATACTATCACATTGGTGCACACATGAATACATATAATCTTACATTTTCAATCTAATAGCATCACACCGGTAATTTCATCAATCGATCTGTCCATACTCATAATTTGAATAATCTAATTCGATAATCAACTATGATGGCCTTTAAGTCAAAATGCAATATCATTATTTTGTCCATTAAAACTCACTACAAAAAATCAAGATTTTAGAAATCAAAATTTACGGACAAAATTATTTTTTAGGAACCAAACATTTTTGCTGCAAAAAGTATCATCATTATATTTTTGGCATTGAAAATTGGACATTAGTGATGAATTATTATCCTTCTAGGGATCAAATTGTCTTAAAAATAAACTATTTTGAGACTAAATTATTGTCCCTAAAAGTCTATTTATTAGTGAAATTTTCAAAATTTTGTTGCTAAAAGTCTCGGTTTTGATTTTTCAAGATGACCTTTTGGTCATGACGATAGAAATTAATCCCTAAATGTCATTTGTAACAAAATTTTTACTTTTAGAGATCAAAAAATTTGGTCTCTACAACTCTTTATATGCTATAGTGACTTAAATAAGACTAACGTAAATTGTCATGTGAGCCACACATAAAAAATTTCTCTTCTTATTAGCACCTTTACACTTCAACATATACTTCCATAAAAACAACATTTTTGTTTCATGTAATTTCACAAAAATTATGGTTTGGTCTTTCCATTTTTGATTGAGCCCAATTTCGTAAACCACACTAACACCATTCCGTGAGTCACATTAACACTAGATTACGAAAGAGTGAAATTTTGATTTAACTTTGACTTTTAATGCAATTAAAGGGTTGCATGTGACAATTGAAAATCGAGGATCACAACGAGATATTAGTTGAAAAAAAAAAAAAAAAATGTAGTAGGGATAAATAGATAGAGGTACCTAGCTGCGAAGTCAAAGCATGCAAAGGCGCCAAATTGGTGAAGCAGACGGGCTAGAGCTCTGGTGTCGGTGCAAGTTCCTGTGACATTACTGCAAGCTGAGAAAGAACCCAACATTGGCCTGTTTGTGGATTGATAGAAGGTAAGTTGGAGCCTTAGAGCTTCCATGTCTATTTGGCCATTGTCCTCATCTAAACCAATCTCCACCACCTCGGCTAGGCTTTGCCGCCATGAGAGAATGTTCGAGTGGTGCTCATAGGGTCCAACAAAAACCACCCATCTTTCTTCACTGCTGCTAATTTGGAGGCACTTTAGTACCCTATCTCTCATTGTTGATGGAATAGCAATTCCCATCACTTCTTGAAGCCTTTTGATAGCTGCTGTTGTGCCCCATCCACAAAATATTAGTGCATCATCTTCTCTGCCGCCCAGGCATCTCTTCACATATTGACTTGCTTCAAGCACCATTTTCGTTGTCCGTTCGCCCACGTAACTGTCACTGCTGTGACTATTACCTATAAAAATACATGTCTCTATAAATAGTAATACTAATAACAGTACATGAAATTCAATGAATGTGATTTGTTTATTTATTTTTATTAACTTCCAAATGCTTGCTTGAATACATATATACATATATATTATAAGAAGAATAAGAATTCGTTGTCAACGTTATCTGTTTGTTTCTTTATTCATTATTCTTTGGATGTTTTCGAACTTGTCAAAAATATGCAGGTGATCAAGCAAGCAAGCAAGACTTCAATAATTAATCTAATAGCTGGTTATCATTTTCTTCACATAAGTCATTTTTTATTTTTAATTGGGTAGTTGCAATTGCTGATGGAAATTACAAGTTGAATTAATGACAATTAATATATTCAAGCTTAATTAATTTTCTTGGTGAGTGAGTATATAGAATTTTGAAGAAAAACATGATAAACATATATACCGTAGAAGGGAAGAACATTGTTGATGATATAATTTTCTATGTAGTGAAGGCACCGGCCAGAGGCTGTGTGATCCGCATAAGTGAGCCTACGCTTTCCGAAGGGGGACTCAAATTCTAGATCGCCTCCGATAATTTGAGAACGTAGCCATGACAGTTTCTTCTCTGAAGAATCATCACTCATGGGCATTTCAAATGATTCTAATCTAGCAACTGCAACATCTTCATCATCCAGATGATCCTGTGCTTGTGAACTACTTGATCTAGGTGAGCTTCTGCTGCTACTATCACAATTTTGGCTATGGCTCTGCTTAAGCTTTGAGTTGCTAATCTTTCTTTGAGCAGTAATGAAGTCCCTCAACATGGACATGGATTGCTCAAACTCCATGTTGAAATGAAAATACATGCACCGTATGTAAGTGATTATATCAATACAATAGTGAATGAATCAGAAGAACAAGAGACAAATTGAAAAACGTTCTATCAATGGAGCTCTTCAATAAGAAGAAGAGCATGAAGATGAAAGATGATGATGATAATGCAGTGAGAAGACGTGTGAGACTACGTATTTAAAAGGACAAGTGAGATGCCCAATGAAAATAATAAACTTGGCACGTAAAGAAGATGGTAACCAAGTTTTTCAGTGGGTCAAATAAAAGGGGTGCCTGAAATAAATTGCAACTATAGAAAAATGATATTAGTAATAGTAGGTCTTCCCCTGATTCCCACCGTTTCAATAACAGGCGGAGCCCGACCATTTTAATAAATAAATAACAGGGGCGGGGCCGTTACCATAAAATAAATAAATAATGGGGAAGTTATTTGGTGCTCTTTGGGGGTATTGCGTAATAGTCTCATGAGGAGTCATGTGCGAGTCTGTTTTTAAGAGCATCCGTATATCAAACTAGTTGAAATTATTTTTTAACTAAATTAGTGATATTGTTCATAAAAAATGGATTGCATCAGTCTCGTTACTGTTAATCGCTAATATACGAGTGTTACAGTACCTTGTTACAACAAGTGAGGTACTGTTCATCGCTAATTGTGTGTTACTGGACGTTCGTCCGAAAGTCCGACCGGATGTCCAGCCGGTTAACCTACAACCATTTTTATTTATATTTATTTATTTTTTATTTTTTTTACATTTCCTCCAGTTTTACCTTTTGTAAAACATAAGAATTGTTTGGTTCATAGCTCATCAATTTAATTATAAAAAAAGAATAACAAATATTTTAATAGGATTGAGTTAAAATAGAGAGTTTGAAGCAATGGAGTGACTAGCTAAATTAGAAAAATGACTTTTCAAGTTATAATTTGACTAAAATTTTGAAGAGCTTGATACTGATGCTCTAAATAGGATGGGCCCTTAAGAAAGACATGTAATATTATTACTGTTGGAAATGGTTATAAAATTCTGGATAAAACCAGAATTTTTTCCTACGTTCGGTCTATTTTTTAGGTGGGCCCCGAGTGTTGATTTGCTCGGGTCAAAGTGGTAACGCGTTCTATGACTTTTGACAATTACGGAGACTCCCTTATAATTTTAATAATTATACTAACCTCCCTTATTTTTGAAATTATTATAAAGATTCTCTCACTGTTAGGTTATTTAACAGAAATTACTAATGTCATAAATTATAATATCAAAAATGACAAAATTGACATTAGTTATCTTATCTATTCAAATGAGAAGTTTTACTCACTTCTCCTGAGGTTTTGCATATATATTATCATAGACTCATACAGAATTTAGCATTATTTAATAAAATTCTTAAATTTCATGCAATATTAAAGAAAATTTTAAATTATTATGACATTATTAAATCATTTAATGAAAAAGAAAAACTTAATATTCATTGATACAATACTTAAAAATAAACAATATCTCTAAAATTAATGTTAGATAACATCCTAATAATTTAATATAAGACTTATTCAACATTATATAAACAACGTAAGGTTTGTCATTCTAAGTGATGTATTTATTATTTGATTTTTTTTAAAGTTGAAATAAATATATTTATTTTTTTCGATAATTTACATTACTTATTTATTCATATGTAAAAAATTTATTATTTTATCTTTCCTTAATCATATATTATTCTTAAAATTTAATTTTTATCTTTGAATTATGGAATAAGTCTTATATTAAATTGTTAGGATGTCATCTAACATTAATTTTAAAGATATTGTTTATTTTTAAGTGTTTTATGAATGAAAATTATTATTTTTTTCATTAAATGTTTTAATAATATCTTAACAATTTAAGGGTTTTATATTGTTGCATTAAATTTAAGAATTTTATTAAATAATACTAAAATATGTATAGGTTGTTAAAAATATATATGCAAAACCTTAGGGGAAGTAAGTGTAATTTATCCATGTTGATAATGAATGATTCGTTTTATGGATATTTTCGTCTTCTTAGATGCAAATCAAAGGCTAATATGGACATTTTCACACCTAACTAACGCCGTTTGTACGAATTGTAACAGATTGGGAAAATTTTGATAATAGTTTCAAAAGTAAATGAGGTTAGTATAATTACTGAAACCACAGAGGAGATCTCTATAATTGTCAGAAACCTCGGAGGAGATATATGTAATTTACCCTATATATAAATATTAGGGACATGGGGTTGTTGTATTGTAACACCCATGGCTTGTCCCAACTTTATTTTGTTAACAACAATGTTATATCCACCGAATTAGCGCTTGCCCGAATTTGTGCATGTTGGTTGTTTGGGAGGTTATCTAGGAGGATGCCAGTCATCTTGAAGATGTCGGTTGATAAGGATGACAATTACAGTTGACAAAGGTGACAACTGCAAACGGTTGATAACGGCGATACCGGTCATCGAGATGGTTGTTTGGCCGGTCGTCCGGCTTACATAATTTGGGTGAATTCAAATTCGGTATATCAATAATTTTTTTTTTTATAATTCAAACTGTTCATATTATTAGATTCATCAAGTATATTATCCAGGACATATGTAGCCCCATGATCAAGATTTAATTATTTTTTAAAAAATTATCAAAATTATGATAGCCATTTTTTTCTTAAAAACATAAATGCGGTCATGTTATGGGGATATAGATGTCCAATTAACCTAATTTTTTTCATTAATTATTTTCTCAACAAACTTTACAATATAAACGGTCCAAATCATCAAAATAAGTTCGAAACACACCCCAATGGGCTTCACAACATCAACCCCACTTTGTAATCTTATCAGTTCAAAAATAAAATTTTATCCTCACAAAAATTAAAAAATCAAATTGCAGGGATAAATTATTCATAAGTAATGGATTGTTTGCGAAATGCATGAATTGGTTATACAATATAATTGACTATATATCATTGATAATTATCTCTGGCGAATGAAATTTTTAAAAATTAAAGAGTAATATTTAAATAATACTTTATTGTACTTAATTCAATTCTTATTTGATATGCTAGGTTTTCTCATTGGCAGTGGTATTTCTAAGAACATCTTGATCTTGAACGGGTCAACTTCAATGTCCCCTGAGTAATGGAGACTTTTTGGGAGAAGTGTAAATCATAAGTTGACTTATCTCCAAAATGATATTGACTTGTGAATCAGTGTTCGGACTCTTGAAAATGGGAAATAAATTTTAATGGGAGGATTAGTGTCATGCAGGGTACGAGCAGATCAAATATTACCTTCAGAATCCGTCAATACTATCTCCACCTTAACCGGGGAAATCATTGATTCTGTACCTATCAGTGACACGACCATAGACTGTATGTATGTAATTATATCAATACAATAGTGAATCAATCAGAAGAACAAGAGACATATTGAAAAACACTCTATCAATGGAGCTCTTGAACAAGAAGAAGAAGAAGGTGAAGACGCTGATGAAAAGATGCCCAAAGAAAAATAGCAAACTTTTTTGGCATATGGCAACCAAGTTTTTCAGTGGGTCAAATAAAAGGGGTGCCTGAAATAAATTCCAACTATAGAAAATTGATTTTAGTGGGTCTTCCCCTCATTCCCACCGCTTCAATGACGGGGAAGTTACCATAAAAATAAATAAATAAAAGATAATTGTAATTCCTAAAACATGTTTTAATTTTTATTTTAGTCTTTTAAATTTTGTTTTTGTCATTTTGGTTCTTAAAATTGTCAATTTTAATCAATTTGGTTTTAGATCTAACATCTATCTAAATTGATAACAGGAATATGTATAAAAGATATTTTTGTTCTTTCTAGTCATTTAAGTTTTAAATTTTATTATTTTGGTCATCGAAATTATTGATTTGAGTCAATTCGGTCCTAAATAAAACTGATAACTTTGAAGACCAAAATGACAAATTTAAAACTTAAAATGACAAGAAACGCACACTTTAGAGATTAAAACTGTTTTTTATCCGAGGATAAAATATTTTTTTTGTTATCAATGTAAACAGACGTTAGAGATAGGTCTAAATTGACAACATTGAGAATTAAAATGACAAAATTAAAACTTGAGAAATTAAAATGACAAAGAACACATACTTTAAAAATTAACATTGTTATCCTAATAAATAAATAAAATAAATAAAAGAAACAAAAAATAATGGAGGAAGTTATTTGGTGCTCTTTGTGGTATTGACTTAATCAGGTCTCGTTTGTCAACTATATATTTTAGCCAAAAAATCACTATAAATTGTCTTATCACTCTCTTTATTTTTTTACACATTTTTTTATAAAAAATTTAAAAATTATTAAAATAATCTATTCTTAAACGAGACCTCAGTCTCGTGAAGAATCGTGTGAGTTTGCTCTAAATAGGATGGGCCCTCAAGACAGGGCATGTTACTTCGTAATATTAGCGACATGGGGCTAGCAAAATGTATCTATATATATATATATATATATTAGAAACGCTTATTTGCTTGATACTCGTATTTTTTTTATTTTTTTTTCGATTTTACACTTTTGCTTGAAATTATTTACTATTAGAGCTTGCATTTTAATTTTTCTAGTTTGTCTTTTTATTTTATATTATTTATCAATATTGGTGGTACTAATTTGGATGAAAGTTTTTTTGTAATTATGTAAAATTCTTGATCAGTTATGAAATATAAATATTTTAATTTTGATTAAATTACAAATACACCCTTGAGTTTTTTTTTCTTCTTATTGTGCCCTTTTATTTTGTATAATTTACTATGTGTAACCTATAATTTGACTTCGCCATTTTACCATTTTCTTTGGTAATATTTACCATTATTGGTGGTACAAATTTGAGTGAAGGGCTTTTCATAATAATGTAAAGATTCATGGCCAATTATGAAATATAAATATTTTGATTTTGGATAAATTACAAATACACCTCTGGGATTTGTTTAAAATATAAAACACCATTACAATACTACAAATTACAACTATTCCTTATTAGATTATTTAATTTAACAGAATAAAATTATAAAATAATAATAATTTGAATAAAATATGAAAAAATTTATTAAAACAAATGAAAATTCGTCTAAAAATAAATTTTAAAAAATCAAACCAAAGAGAATAATTTGTTATAAGATTTGTATTTTGGAAATATAAATTTATCACATGAATAGACCGTGCCTTTCACGGGTCTAAAAATAATTTTTTATAAATGA